CATCCCTCTCCATTTTCCCACACGAGGTTGTTCTTCTTTCAAGTTTGGAACAGTCAAGTTTGGAACAGTCACTGTCTTCTGTCTCGCATTTGCAACTGACCAATCGTATTTCACGTCTTCACCAACACTCACCGGGTAATTATAGTCACCCAACGAAACGTAATGGCCATTCACAGATTTCTCCTGTTCTTCTCTTTCATCGTGTACGTTCTCGCGACCATGTTCGCCCATGTCGAGACGCTCTGACGTTTCAGCTGCGCCATCGTATTTATCACGCTCCTCGTGGGCACCCTGTCGAGCATCGCGTTCCGAGGAACTTAACAGGTGATTCCTGTTGTTTTCGTCGAAACCTGTGTTTAACTCTTCCCTCAATTTCGACAATTCGCCTATTAACTTGAACAGTCCCAATGTACCCTGATCTTCCACCTCTTGTGAGCTCGCTCCTTTCTCAATGGACGACGTCTTCCTGTCACGAGTTATCGCAATCTCTCGTGGTGAATCATCGATGGCATTATCAGTACTCGATTCATCGTTGGTCGATTTTCGACCCAGATACGATTCCTTCGTGTTTCGATGTACTATGTTATCGACCGGGTTCCTGTCCTGCAAACCTTCATGTACCTTCCTCGGAGTTGATTCATGAGCCGTCGACTCTTCGCTCTTTTTCCCGTGCCTTCCTACACCCTCCAACTTCGGTAGCAAAGCAAGCGGATCCGAAATGAAAAGCGATTTATTGTTCGAAAGTTGTTTATTCTGGCGCGCTTCATTGTGTGCTTCAGGTATTTTCACAGGTAGCTCTCCAGTCGACGGTTTATCACTCCCCACTATCATTGAGTTATCGATCCGACTATCACCGAATAATGTTTCCCCATTCTTCACGTTGACTTTTATGTCACGATAATCTTCCTTTCCATTTCTGCCTTCGTCACTTTTGATTAAGCGTCCTTCATCCCACTGGTTATGGTCTCTGATCGCGTTAGAGCCACTTTTTCCTGCCTCGTTTGGGCGAAACTCCGGGGCTATTACGTTCTTCCTAGCAGGCTCAGCCTCTGTCTGCCTCGACTCGTCTCTGCTGCTCCAAGAGGTCTCTGTTCTCAGTTGACCCAAATATTCCTGGTTCAATCCCATGTTCCACTTCGAGTGGGAGGACTTGTAGTCTCCCAGGCTATCTTTCTTACTTGCCTCTATAGCCTCGTTATAGTTTACGGTATCTTTCGCGTTCGATAGGTGCTCGCTGTTCATCCAATTTGTGTTTACGTCGAAATCGCCCGTATCCCAATCATAGCCCTCACTTTCAGAATTGAAGAGCATATCGGTGAAGCTGCCTGATCTGGTGGGTAACACGAAGGAGAGCCAGTCGTTGCCAAACGAGTTGTCCTGAAAGATTCCCATGCTGTCCGATGTCCCTGTGCTTAGTTGAGCTTTAGCGTTCGCCAGGATCTTGCGAACCTCTGCTTCGTCGTTCGAGCCATCGATCGTCCAGGCGTAATCCGAATTCGAGTATTGGCCTAATGATCTTCGACGCCGATCGTGAAGTTGCGCTTTGCGAACGGAGACCGAGTCTTTGTGTCTCGATGTCAGCATGGAGATCAAAGGTGGGAGGTCGCTAGTTTGTTCCTTGGGTTTCTGTATTTGGAGAAGGATTGGTGTAAATTGCGAAGATCTTGGAAAGCCTTGAAATCATTATCGGAGTGCAAATTGTAAGAATATTCCGCTTTGTTTACGCGATAAGTAAATGCAGTTTCATTTCACACTTAAGCTCGAAGGAACGGACATTTCATTGGTCTGAAAATAAAAATCGAAGGGGAAAGATGTGTCGCACAAAATTCAAGTTTTCAAATCATAAATCCACTCTAAATACGGATACATTACCGACAAAGAAATAGAGATATCAAGTAAGTTTCACGAGCTCACCGTAAACGTGTACACTAATTAATATGCTGTTAAAACGTGGTGTTTCTCAGAATATAAAAATCGTATCCAGGCACCAAAAGAAATATCAATACACGAAACAAAGAGATTAAACGAGGACTGAAAAAGGAGCAAACGAAAAAAGCTCAGATCCTAGAAGAAAAAAGAAATATTAATACTTCAAGCATGAAAAATGTCACAAGGAGATTAACAACTTCTTAAAAAGGTAAAGAAGGAAGAAAACGCTCCATGCGTTAAGCATAATTAATCAACGTGGATTTCTTACGATTTAAAAGTCGAATCTAGGTCCCGAAAGGAAATGAAAGGCATTTAAGACGTCACGAGAGGATTGGAAAGAATTCAGAAAGGAGAAAAAGGAAAAATTCTATTCGTTAATTCGTCACTTCAAAGATCTACTTTTCGAGAGATCCGATAAACCGAATGGGAATAAAACGCTGTCATGTTGGACGTCGACGATCCTTTTGATCATCCACATCGGCGGTCCAAACATACCTGCTCGCGAAGGAACAACCCTCCCCAATCAGTGCCGCTCGAGGCCTTTTTTTCCACTGATCCCACTTCTCGCCGGGTTAATTCAGCCTCGTGGGCGCATGATTTCTGTCGTCCATTCTGCAGAGTGCTGCTCGTTCGTTGAACGTTGTCCAGAATTGCCTCGTCCTCGACGAGGTTTCTCCGTCTTAGCGAGCCATTCTGTTCCACGATTCGCCCGCTGGCCGTATCTCTCCGAAAACCCGCCGAAACGATAGCCCAGTGCAGAAAGAAGGACGAAAGGATCAACGGTGTCTTCATCTTCTTGATAATCCGCAGACACTATTATTCGTTGTTGCTGATACGTCGATTATATACTCCGCCGGCAATTGTGTAAACAGTCTGGCCGGGATGAGTCCATCGAATACTGGCGAATGTTGTTCCAGAGCCATGTGCATCGCTTAGTCGCATTGCTCGATGTTGTTCGCACAGTGTCCGCATGGATTTTCTGGAAGTTGTTATTCCTTCGTCTTCGACTGTGATAGATATAGATACATGTCTCCTATTCCACATTGGCAGTCCATATGGAACCTAACAACAGGTCGGATTACCGAGGTCAGTCTCAAAGTCTGCACCCCTCTAGCTTTCTTGCCCCACGTTGAAAGGGGACCAGTTGTTTTGGGCCACACGAGATATACCTAACCCTAACGGTTGCTGATGAGCGAAAAGGAGGAACGTAGAATATGTAGTTAGTATATTTAAATAATTTAAACTTTGTTAATTTATGATTCTTGTTATAAGAAAGACAGTAACATGGAATAAATTGGGCACTGTCTTATACATTTTCAATTTAAACTTTGTACACAAAATTCGAAACCCATGCTCTGGATCTGTGCCATCATCTTTCTGTGTTATCCTAGGGATAGTGATTATATCGTGGATCTGTACATGTAAACGAAGTATGGTACTTGATAATTTTCAACGAATGAGGACCATATTATTCCGAAAAAGGAGGTTATGTTTTCAACGTTGGCTTCTTCCGGAGATAATAATAGAAATTGTAAATTTTTACTTGGCTATCTAGTAGGTCCATCAAGATTTCCAGTGTAACATCCTCTTGCATGTCCAAATGGTAACCGTCTACGGTCCCATTCGTTGAGTTGAACGGTGGTCTCGAGTCATGCATAAAATTCCAAATTTGAAGGAACGGGAAAGCCAGGGGCCAGGAAAACAAATTTCGCCTGTAGTGATCGCGGAGAGGAAAGGAACGTTCGATCGAATCGTTGAATCCAATGCTGGACTCTTCGTTCGTTGAACCGCTGCCCTGCCATATCGAATCTTGCGGTTTCATTTTATTCGCTTCTTCCTCTTTAATATCCAAAAATTGTCGCGACATTTGTCCAAATATTTATCAACCTTAACAAGCCATTGGATGTGTGGAAAACATCAAGTGGCATTTTATTATCGCAAATGAGTCGTATTAGCACGGATACCCGGCAAACAAGGAATTAAACATCCTGGTATTACTTTTTCACCGAATCTTCGCAAACAACTACGCAGGATGTCCAACAAACTGTATCCAATTTGCACTATATTCGACGCTTCAGTGAAATGGATGAAATTGAACGGCGGAAGCAGAAATTCTTGCATCACATTCGCTATTCTACCGAATCTCGGTATAAAAGAGGGAATATTCCATTTAAGAAGAAAGCAGGTGAACCTTTCTATTAGCAAATAGAAGTATAGGAAATAAACCTAATAAGCTAACCTAACCTAACCTAACCTAACCTAACCAAACCTAGCCAAACCAGCAAAAGCGAAGATGTCACTGCCTGTATATCATATATATATTCATCCAACCACACAATTTCCTTGCAAAATATTTTTGCTTATCATTTGTAATAATAAAGATATTTAAAATTGACAGAGTTAATGAAACATCCTATATATTAATGTCGCAAAACAAAATTCGTCACTTCTATAAATAGCATTATTAAATTAAAAATGCAACTAAAACTTGAGAAGTCATTAATATAGTCGAGTACGGAATTACTCAGTTAAATTAAGTACGCAGTTTGTCTTAAATAAAATTAAATACCAATAAAGCAGAAAATATCTCGAAATATATTTTCAACAAACATTTACCCTGATGCTCTAATACTTGAAGAATGCAATAAATTATTGGCTACAGAGATACACTGTAGGAGACTGACTGAGTAAAAGTTACTCAAGTGGTAAAATATTTTCATGAATACCCGTGCTGTCATTTAAATAAATTTCGTAGCCCCAATGGCATTTAATGTGTTATATACCACTTTGAGTAGACAGAGAGTTCAGTGCTGTGGTTAGCATGACATGCACCACACAGAAGACACTCGAAACGTCGCTGACGCGTACATGACACGGTTTCGATCGTTCGCAATGGAGAAACGAAGAAAACAACGGAGGAACGCGAGCTTTGCGTTCTTCGCTCGTAGAAAGCTTATTTAATACGCGGTTAGTGGCTGACATAACATTCCGCGGGAACACGGTGCAATTTCGTCTCGAGGTTGGAACGCTTTTCACGTCGTCTAAAGCAGCAACTTGTGTTTCATTTTCAGCAACAGAGGCACCCGCCTCTTCTTCTTGGTTGGATGTTCCTGGTACTGCCGTTCCTGCCCGCATCCAATCTTTTTATTACCGTTGGATTCGTCGTCGCGGAACGTGTACTCTACATGCCCAGGTAATTAACAATTTTAGAAAGTAGCTAAATCTCCAAGTAACTGTGGACTTGACTTCATTTGTCATTCTGTGAGCAATTAATCACGATTGGAAGAAATACTAAAAGAATTTAAAGGAAAATACAAGAAATTTAATCACCGGTAATACAATAACTGATATTTCCTGAAAATTATATTTCCATACGTTTAAATGTCTTGAATTATAATATATTGGAATATTACATTTAACATTCGTGTATGCCTTCGTTTAAGCAAATATCAAAACAATGTCAGCGATTATTAGACATTATTGATTACTATTTCTATTTGTCTATGTACATCTTAGAATGAAATTTTTTAATCATGCTTATCAAATATTAGTGCAATTCTTTAAATGTATAATAAAGTCAAATTATAATAAAGATGAAATCTTTATATCGAATTAACTCAGTATACCACACGAATGGCTTCGTTGCAACGTTTCCTTGCATTCAGCAAATGTAGAACTGCTCAAGCTTAATTTTGTACTAATACGATTTCGTTACTTTTGTCGTAATTGGTATTGTGGAAGTTTGGTTGCACGGTAATAGTGTTTTCTCATATTTAGTAACACCGGTGCTGTCTAGAGACCAAATGTCTCCATAACACTGCTCTAATCCTTCTTAATGTCTACTACTGTGACCATGCACAATAGCATTACCTATCACATACTCTCGAACATTGCCATACTTGCTAAATTTCAAATCACGACACTGTGTACCGTAAAAGCTGAGAGACCGCTGACATAGCTACATAATTAGGTTGATTGAAATAGAAAATGAAGAATGAACGTTTGCAGTGTCGGATGGATCCTCCTGGTCGTGTATGGGATGCAAATCAGCTGGACGGCCATTCCTCGCAGAAGAAATTTGATCACGACTGGGATCGTTCTGCTTCTACTCTTAGGATGCTACAAGACGGTGCTTCGAAACAGAGACTGGACGTCTAGAGAAACTCTGCTCAGGTTTGTAGAGCCCCCTTTGCCTTTCCTCTATGGTTAAAACTTTATCATCAAAATTCCATTTGTTCAAGACCAATAAAGTAGCCTTCCACTGTAAAATTATTCATGCATACAGCAATAGTAATTAACACGGTAGTTCGCACATAGGGATATCAAAATTGGAATAAAATACGCTTCCCCAAAGTTCGAACGCGTAGGTTGGCTTACAAATAAAAAATTATAATTATTTATTTATTAATGGTTAATTAATTTAATAACAAATTTTTATTTCTATTTTATATTTTCAAAATATATACTTACACAAGTTCATTAGTAAAGTCAATAATCTCGGTACAAAATTATAACAATAAAATTCTAAAACAGGAGACTAGATGTTCACTAGATGATACACATCTAACATTAGGTTTGAGTTAGGTTAGTGATTAGGTCACCTTGGACATTTAAAACTTTGTTTTGAACAGTAGCTCGAGATAATTAAACGAATGATTAATTATCAATAACAAATATATATTAATTTTGAATTTCGAACAAGGAAGGGTTTACTCTCAGCTACCCTCTGCAAATGTGCTCACCTGAAGTGTATTTTCCAATTCATCAGTTCTTTCCTCGTTGGGGACTCTACTCGACTCGTCGAAGCTCAGAGCCTTGTTGTCCCTTTCATTCGCGGGCAGGAAAATAGATTCGAGCACCGTGCACAGATCACCATTCTTATTCCCAGTCCCCAAAACTTCGCCCGAGGATGCATGAGGCGAGGATTCTACCGATCTCGTGAGTTCATCCTCATCGGAATGCGATTTAAACTTCCTCGGGGATACAGGACTGGACGTCCCGCTTTTATTCCAGATTTTTGCCTGCGGTTTTGCAAACTTCCCGAAACTAGGTTGCAGTTTCTTCGCGAATTTAGCGTTTGCTATTCCTTCGTCGGCCTCGCCGGGTAGTTCCGTTTTAGAAACACGGGACAAAGGATCGTTCGACTTCTTGCTTCCCCCCATCTCATCGAGAGGACCATGGACATAGCTGTGAGATAGTGGGATGTTGGAAACAACGTTTATCTCGCCTAAATTTACTTGTGAATGTTCGTCAAAGGTTGACCAGTCCTGGTCAGGAAGTTTGGAAATTGGACTCTTTGGATCTTCAGTTGAGTGAACCAAGTCGTGTCCGCCATTTTCTCCTCTTGATTCCAGACCACGTTCACCTATGTCTTCTTTTGGTGAGCTTACGGAATCGTCTGAAGATACGTCCCCGTGTTTGTGCAGATCACTCTTGATAGGATTGGAAGTATATTCGAACGCGACTGGATCATTTAACGTATGATGATTCAATGATGACCCACCCTTTGTTTCCGTTATTAATACAGAATTTAAATGATTAGAAACAGCATGATGTCCGTCGTGGTCTTCGTTCTCCTCTTCAGGGTCTATGTTATGTGTAGGTTTATTCAGCTGATTTTTACTCGAGGTGTGCTTATCCTCTGTCTTGGATCTCAGTTCCTGTTTCTCATTTGAGTCACTCTCTTGGTCGTGTTTCAATTGGGGCAATCCCTCTATCCTCACTTCAGATAGAGATAAGTGTCCTTTCTCATTATCAGACATTTCATGCAAATTCTCAGTCGACTGTGATATTCTGTTTAATTCGTCATGACGAGTTGCAAGTTTCTGGTTCGATTCCTCCCCTTGTTCGTTAGGCAAGATGTTTATTCCCGACTTCGAAGACTGATCATCCTCTTGAGGCTCTCTACCACTGGTACGTGATTTGTTACGCTCATTGACTGACGATTGAAGTTTCTTTCCATTACCCGAAGTGTCGTCTAACCTAGGATCCCCTTCTTGCTTTTGAGGCATGTAAGAATCTTGCAATGAAGTACCTCGACCCAGCGCGAAAGGTGTGATCTCTGATTTGCGGTTTTGATTATGATCCCACTCTTGAAGTCCTGGTCTTGACACGGTCAAGACCGTGTCTATTTCTTCTTTTTGATCATGTCTGTCAGATGACTCTTCATTTCTCACGTCCACTTCCTCCCGAACATTCGATGGATTACTTTCACGCAACGGATCCCAATCTCCCAGTTTCCCAGCGTTTGTGTCGCTGCCAATCTCGTAGTCACTTCCATCAACTGATACTGTCACGTGTGACGTTCTCGGAATATAGTTGGTAAATTCATTCTGATGCATCCCCCATCCTGCATCGTTACTTTTGACAAAAATGTCGTCATACTGATAAATATTATTTTCAGGCTTCACTCTTCCTGCATTGCTGCTCGCACCATTTCCACCCTCTTTCTCTGGAATTCCCCCGTTACCTACTGAACTGTCAATTTTACTTGCATTACTCAACCATCTTCCATTGTTACTCGCACCATATCGTTTCTCCTCCTTCATATTTCCTCCTCTATCCACTGAACTATCAATTTCATCTTCTTGCATGTGTATCCATTTAGATGATCCTTTCGCTGAACCTGACTCAGATAACCCAGATTTAGATGTATGGCCAGGACCATAAAGCGCAGAGTCAACCTGCATCTCTTCGTACGTCGAAATGGTTTCACCTCGTACCTCTTTATGTTCTTCGTTATCACCCCAATTGATAGGATATACTGTGGTTCCTTCAAATGAACGAGGTACAATTAAATTTCCCCCCTCGTTTGTGGAGTGAGCTTCGCCTGTTATTTCGGTATTCAAAGCAGTTTGAACACCCGTTGCGGTAAGTGTTCCCGGCGTGCTGCTTTCAATTAACTGCCGCGCTGCAGATGGCGCCTCGTACTTGTCACTCTCTTTCTCATTGTCCTTGGTAATCTCGTCACCTACCGATCTCGTTCCGCTCTCGGTCGAGCGATCCAATGTTCCCTGCCATTTTCTCAACAATTTGTCACTCTTCCGTGAACTTTCGATGCCTAAGTCAGACAATGGGACTTCATCCTCCGTCGTTCTTGGCGTGTTCGCAGTTGGCGATGACTCTCCACTTTCTGCGGTGACATCATTACTCTCAGTCACCTCGACGCTCGGAGATCCCTCTTTGAACGCTTCCTCTTTATTTAAATCCCGTGTAATCGATTCGCTTCCGTTCAAAGAAGCCTCTTCTCCGTCTTCTTCATTGTGCGGATCGTTTAATCCATTTCTCCCCGTCGTTTCAGCTTGTTTCTGCGTAACAGTCGACCAAGGATTGTTACTTTTGCTCATTGCATCGACCTTTGACACTTCCAGGCCTGATTGTTCACCATCGCTCCGGCTCGTTGTTCCATGTCCATCAGGGTTATCGAGGCGCGGGCTGTAGTATTTCTTTGGTTCTTTGGAATTTTCCTTTGTCGATAATTCGGCACTGTTTGATAGATTTGGTTTTACGTCCCTACTTTTTAGTTCTTCCTCCACTCTCGTGGAAGCCATTTCTTCATTCCCTTCTTCTCGTGCTTCATTTCGCTCGCTGCTCTTAAGTGACAAATTGCTAATCACTTTGGAATCGTTGAGTTCAGACGAATGATCTTCAGCAGCGTTGCTTCTCGTTATTTTCTCTTCCTCCGGTTCTTCTTTGGACGCTTGATTAATTGCAGCTGATGATATATTATCTTTCCTCGAGGTATCACTATTACCAGGGAACTTAGTACCCGAAGTAGAGGATGAGTCGGATGCTTGTACCGTATTTACGCCATTTGCCACTGTTTTACCTTCCCGTTGCTCCGCGAGATCCTGCTCTTTGTTTCTAATTGATGATTCGATTAAGGAAGCGACGTGTAAATTTAATTTTGATCCTTCGTATCCCTTTCCCGTCTTTTCTTGACGTGCATCAAGCTCGTCGTATCCTTTAGACACATTTATCTTTTCTCTATGTTGCTGAGTAATGACAGAAGTATCGATACTTTCAGGCGATAGGATATCGGTACCATGCAACTTCGATAAGTTATCTGCTTCTTTCATATCATATCTTGTAGATTTGGTTTCTTTTGCTGCCTCCTTTGACGAAGGTGTTTCCGGTTCGCTGATTTTGGTACCGTCTAAACGAACAACAGTTTGAGCAGCTGTTCTGAACATTGTCTCGAAAGAATTATCACTTGTTGTTTGCTTTTCGGATCCCCCTTGTTTTTCTGCAGACACGTGTGTTTCTTTTCTCATCTGAGATTCGCCCCCAGTTTCTCCAGTACCACTTGCAGTCCACAAAGTTCCGGCAGCTCCGTGAGTTACGCGATTCGATAACCACTTATTTTCAATACCTATCCCTCCCTCTTCGCTTTCCTCAGATTCTTCTTTAAACTCTCTTTCTGACGCCGTTCCTGACTCTTCCTCGGATTCTATTCTTGATTCTTTTATAGATTCGGTTTCAGGTTCCTTTGCAGTCACGTTTCCTTCTCGTTTTCCAATTATTATTTCAGGAACTCGCGCAGATTCCTCTTCTGACCCTTTCCCTGATTCAGTTTCAGATAATTCCTCTGATTTTTCGTTAGATACCATTTCAGATACTTCATCAGTGTTCCCTTCGGATTCTTCTTCTAATCCTTTTCCTGATTTTCCTCCAGATATTCGTGCGGATTCTACATCAGATTCCATGACAGACTTTTTCTCAGACCCTTTTCCAGGTATTTTATAACGGGCATTTGAATTCTCTTCGGATTCTTTTCTTGATTTTTCTACAATTCCTTCTCTGGATATTATATTAGATACTGTTATTGGTTCACTTTCTGATGCGTCTCTAAATTCTTCATCTGATGTTACAGGTCCAACTATAGATTCTTTTCCTGGTAGCTCCTTTGTCTCGTTCGCTGACACGTTTTCAGGTCTTTCTTCAAATTCTGCTTCAGACCCTTTTCCAAATACTTTTTCAGACTCCCCTCCAGGTTCTGTTTCAGATTTTATGTTAAATCGGTTTCGAGGCACTTTTTCCGACATTTTTCCTCTGAGATCTAAATTTTCCTCCAATTCCTTCTCTAACTTCTTGCTTAGATTCTTTGCCTGATTTTCTGATGTTATTTCAGATTCTATTCCTGGTCCTACTTCATACTCAATTGGAGGTTCATT